GTGTTCTTGGAGCATCTGGGGTGCTCCCTGAGCTGAGGCACAGGACAAAGCCACCCAACCCCCAGGTTTGAGGCCAAGGGAAGGAACTGTCCAGGGATGGGCTGGCAGAGAGAATACAGTGTGAAGTAGAACATTTGGGGAAGGGAGAAGAGGAGGAGTTTGGAACGTCTACAGTCATTTCTAAGACCCTCAGGTCTGTAATCCATAGGCATCCAAGCAGTCAAGTCTGTCCACTGTCCTGCAACTTGGTGTTGGGACAGTGCCCTTTCTCAGAGTCACCCATCCTATTTTGGGATGACTAAGTCCAAGGAGGGGCTCTGTCCTGGCGCCTGGAAGTGCCTCATCATTTCCTCATTTCAGACTTGTCATTCCTGTAGAGAAAAGTATCTCAACCCCATTATTATAGATTTGGGGTCGTTAAGACTCAGGCTATATTAAAATTTTACTCTCTATGGGAAAGGATCTAAAGAGAAAAAATCACAGTGAAGGATGTTTGATTTAAGGAAAGCTTTTTAAAGAGCCCACTTTAGCAATGCACATTTGCATACAAACAATGAAAGTGATAATTAAAATGATTCTCACATAGTCATTTCAGCAGTGCAGAGACTGCTGCTTGGCAACACTTACATAGTGGAAGCGAGTGTACTTTGAAAATAATATTGTTCCATCCATCTAATCACCTAAGACATATTGTGAGTCTTTTGTTTCTAAGAACTGTGCTATAGCCACTGTGTGTTTATGGGAAGGGAATAGAAATCAAGAGTTTAAATCTAATACTTGCCCTCTAGGGTGACCATCTGAGGGGTTTCCCAGGATATGATGCCACTGGGAAAGTCCAAGGAGAACCGGGTTGTGTTGGTCACCTTACCTCAGAAGTTGAAAGGTTAGTAGGAATGAACCAGAAATGTCCCACCTGTTGAGATAGGCCACACCTGCTCACATTGCTTTAGAAATTGTTGCATTCTGCCCTGTAGGATTTATTCCTCCTGCAAATTGAGTAGTTTAACTTCCTTTGGAAGCTGTAGGCCAACATTTAAAGTATTTCTGTCATCATCATTACTGGCATCAGTGATCTCTGACACTGATCACTGGGCACCTGCCGTTTGCAGCTGGCTTGGACTTTGTCCTGGGGAGTGTGGGTAGGGCTGATTTAACCTGGAGGTGATGTGAAAATCTTTTACTTTCCCACAGGGGAACAACTGCCACTTCATCTTAAAAAAAAAAAAAAAGTATTTTAGAACACAGTCTGGAGCACAGTAGATGCAGAATAAATATTTGTAGACTGAAGTTTATTAACTTCATGGTTAAGAGTGTAGGGTCTGGAGTCACATAGACTCAGCTTCAAATCCTGGCTCTGCCCTTTGTTGGCTTTATGATCATGGCTTGTGATTTACCTCTCTGAGTCTCATTTTCCTCATTTGTGAAATTGGGTTTAATATAAGGGTAGTAGCTATAATATAAGAACACTAATATAATAGTGATGATAAGCTACGTAGTGAATATAGGGTAGCATAAATCTAGAGTCAGGTTGCCTGAATTCAAATTATCTTACTAGGTATATAAGCCTGGGCAAGTTATTAAACCTCTCCAGGTCTTAGTTTTCTTGTCTGTGAAACAGAAATAATAACAGTACCCTTATCAGAAGGTTGTTAAAAGTAAGAATTATAAATCATCCTACGCCTGGTGTGAGGAAACATTACATTAGTGTTTGCTAAAATGTAACACCTATTATTAATGACTTCATTTTGGGTCTTTTAGAATGAGGTTTGATACCAGGCAAGTATTGCCCCCCACCACTTCATCCCCTGTTTGTTGTGGTTGTTGTATTTGAGGGAAAAAATGGTGTTTTGATGGGTTAAATGGTTTACTGAAGAGAATGTGACTATTAAATATTAGACCTGGGACCAGAATCTATGTTACCGGCTTTCAAAGTGGCTGCAGGCATACCTGTATGCATTTGTCCAGGGCAGATGGGTGTGCACTAAAATTTCAAGCTTTTAAGAGCATAAATCTGGAGACGAGTGATGTGTCCCCGTTTTGTGCACTACCCACCCTGCCCTCACTCGCCTGTGCCATCACCCCTGGCCTACAGATGTTCCCTGTGAATTAAGGCTTTGAGCTTGTGCTCTCTAATAGAGTCTGGGATTTAATAAGGTAGCCAGTTTAAACCTCTTCTAGATTCTGACTGACTTAGTCAGCGCTCTTCTCTGACTGGACTTCTTTTGCAGAACAAAAGATTTTATTGTATTTTGACACCTGATTTCAAAGTCCTGCAAAAACAGTTTAAAAACACTTGTTGATATCTTGTCACTTAGCTGTCTTTAAAGATGTTTGTTTACCATTGATGGCACTTTTAAAAAATGCTTTAACATATGAGTTAAAGTATAAATATTATCCTATATGAGCAAAAAGAGGTGCTTTAGTACTTGAGTCCTATTTTTGAGCCCTGGAATTCAATTCTGTCCTGTTGCCAGCTGAACCTGATGTATTAGATGAAAATATATCCCTATCTTCAAACATGGACAACAGGACATTCTGTCCTCCAAATTTCAGTGTTTGAGTTGGGTGTTGCAGGAAACTTGGCACCCTCTCTTTCTTTTCAAAATAATAAACAGACACGATGTGGCCTCATGTTTCATCTGATGGGGCTTAGGTGCTATTGCCTCATGAAGTCTGATTCATAGACAAATGGGAACTAATTATAGTAGCTTAAAAATAATACCCCTGTTTAAATTTGGCAAGGCAAGATGCCTTGCATGTTTTGTAGGACATGAGAGACTATGTCTTTGATGGCATGGAGGTGACACATCATTTTTATTTTAGCTACATTTTAAAGATGGTGCTGGCCATCTTTATTTTATGTTTTAGGGATTTCTGGCACTCTCTCACACATACCGCATGCACAAACATCAATGCATCTCTTCCTATAATCTACACAGGAATTTATTTTCTGCTATCTTTGAGCCGTATTTAAAGAAACAACCGTCTGCTTTGAAGAAAGTGGATGGCATAATTGTTTTAAATCCTGAGCATTCAGAATCTCTATTATGACAATTTGTAGATAATGATGGACTGCTCTATGAAAAGAATAGAGGATTTTTGTCTTAGACATTTTGATCACTTTTACTCTACCTACCTTACCACATTGTGAATTAGGTTGGAAAATAGTTTTAATTTTTTTTTCAATTTGCTTAAGTAAATAGATGGCACATGGCCATGTGCAAAATTTTAAAAATTAGAAAAAAAGTTTGCAGGGAAAAGTAAATCTTCTACCTTTTCTGTGACTGGATAGTTCTCTTCAGAAGCAATCCTGGACACCATTTTCTTGTATACTATTTTAGAATCCTGGATAGTTCCTCTGTATTCATAAGTGCATGTGTATGAGTGTTTTCTCCACATAAAGGACATCATACTATCCTCAGTGTTTTGACCCTTGCTTTTTTGTTTATCTATAATCTTGGAGATCATTCTGCTTTAGATGTCAAGCTACTTCCACTGACTATATATGTCATAACACATAAACAAACTGCCTATCAGTGATGTTTAGACTGTTTTTATCTTTTGCCCATAAAATCATGGCATGATGAATAATATATATCTACTATAGGATAGACAGTCTATCTCAGTGTTACAAGCAGAACCGTATAGCCCAGTTTTAATTTTATAATTTAAGGGCTGGGTATAGTGGTGCATACCTGTAATCTCAGCTAGTTGGGAGGCAGAGCTCAAGAGAACTGCAGTTCAAGGCTACCCTGAACAAAAAGGTAGTGTGATCCATCTCAACAAGTAAGCCAGACATGGTGGTTCACCCCTGTCACCTCAGTTTTGTGGGAGGCCTAGGTTCAACTCCCCATTTGTCTTTTTACTATTGAACTATTTGGTCTTGGCTAGTCACTTAATCTCTGTGTGCCTCACCTCATTTGTAAAGTAGTATTTACCTTGTAGGCAGGATGTGATGATTAAAAACACTATTCTATATAAAGCTGGTATATAGGTAGGCATGTTGGCAGGTTTATATGTATTTTGTATGTATTTATCATTTCATATGATGCTAAAATGAACTTGTCTCTGCACGTGTCTGAACCACTCTCAGTGACTTTTAGAAGCCATGACAGTTTTTGCATCTGCGGTTGTATTTGTCTGGTTTTACTCAAGTCCATGTTCCTCTCTTCCATTTCCTTGTGGCTTTTATGTAACATCCTGGAGGAGGAAAGGGAAGATGGTGTTTCAGACCATTATACTAATTAATGGCTTAGACCCCTTTAAATGCATAAAGTGTATTGTCATTGGTGATAACCGTTTTTAACAAATGGTTCAATTCCCACCCCCCCCTCACATAATGAATTTGCAGCCTTACAATACTTAAATATTTACATTTAGGCAACAATATGCTTTTATGTATGTGTGTATGATTCAATATTTATTGAATGATTTACCATGTTTTAAGTCTTTTTTTGGAGGGTAATGGTACTGAGGAGGGCCTCCTGCTTTCTAGGTAAGTGCTCTTACCTCTTCAGCCACACCTCCAGCTCTTTTTTGCTTTAGTTATTTTTCATATAGGGTCTTGCTTTTTGCCTGGGCTGGACTTGGTCTTCAATCCTCCTTCTTTGCCTCCCACATAGCTAGGATTACAGGGGTGTACCATTGTTGGCTTGCTTGTTGAGCTGGGTCTCACTAACTTTTTGCACAGGCTGGCCTTGAACTGCAGTCCTCTTCATCTCCACCTCCTAACTAGCTGGGATTATAGATATAAGATACCACACCCAGCCCTTAAATTATAAAATTAAATTTTTAGAAAAGACTGGAAAGTGTACTTTGATTTAGTTGACTTTGGTGGGAGACAGTCCAGGGTCTTATAATTATTTTAAGTCTTACATTACCAAAGACTACCAGTTTTTGGATTCAGAAAAACTGGAGCTAAATTCCCCATTGATGTTTGCAAGCTGTCTGGCCTTGGGGGAATCACTGAAGCTTCTGGGGCTTTCGTTCTTCTCTTACAGATGGATCCACCTCACAGGGCTCAATGAGGATGGCAAGGGAGAACAGGTAAAAGACCCAAATGACAGTGTGTGGCGCAGAACAGGTGCTCATGGACCATCTGTTCTTCTCTTCCATCTCCTGTCCTCTTGCTACTGGCTCCTGGAAGTAACCTCCTCCACTTTACCTGCCAATGCTCTTCATCCTCACTTTCTGACTCACCAGGGTGCTTTCTCTGATTTAACTTGGTGGGGGGAGGGGAGAACAGTTTACATCTCAGTTGCTGTCTCTTGCATTCCACCTTACATGGAGTGACTGAAGTGTAATGAATGCTTGCAAGTTGAATACATTAGAGAGAATATTCCATCTCCTACTCCACTGAGGTCATACCATTTCATTGAAAGCAGTTGCTACCAACAGCATTGTGAAAGAGGAATTTGGGGCATGGTGATTTGGGGTAGCCCCTGAAATGATCATCTTTGTTTATTTCTTTGAGGAATTTTACTGTAGTCCACTCATGAAACTCTTTTTCCAGGTACTCTTTGCTATGTTTTGCTGTTGTTATTGGGGGTGGGACGGGACACCAAGGGAATGTCTAGAATCTGTTTCATCAAGTTCCATTAGAATGGCAGTTGCTGGAAGCCACTTTGACTCTTTTACCTTCCTCTTCCAAAGAAAAGCTTGAGCTAGTTGTCTTGCAGAACTAGTGGCTGGAGTAGCCTGTTCTTGCTTCAGTGTGGTTTCATTCTTCTTTCCCTTCCTCAGGCCTCTTTGCCCTTTGAGTTCAGTTCCCACTGTCCAACTTTTACAATTCTTTGACACTGGACAGTTTTTTTTTGTGTGAAATATCCTTTCATGAATGTAGTCTTTATTTGTACTATTCTTTTTAAATTTTGTGCTGGAGATACATTGTGGCATTTACAAAAGTTCTTACAATATATCAAATACATCATACTTGAATTCAACCCCTCCATCATTTTCCTTTATCTCCCCCCCATTCCTGGAATAGTTTCAACAGGTCTCCTTTTTCCATTTACATACAGGTGCGCACAGTATTTGGACCATATTCACCCTCCTACACCCTTTCTCTACCTCCTCCCCTCTCCCACTGATACCAACCCCCTCCTCCCCAGGCAGGACCTGTTCTGTCCTCCTGTTGTCTGATTTTGTAAAAGGAGAAAAATGACAATTTTTTTTTTGTTTAAGATAGCTATACAGAGAGTTTCCTTGTGACGTTTCCATGTACACATGTTTTATAACCCGATTTGGTTCATCTCCTCTATTTTTCTCCTTTCTATCTCTTAGTCCTGTTCTATGGTGATTTTGACAGATTTAAAAGATTCTGTACTCATTCTTGTATAGAAAGTACATCAATCATATTCACTTTCTTAACTTCCTTCTTTTATCCCTCCCCTCTCATATGGGTGACCTCCCCTTAGCATGACCTGTTTTCATAATATTGCTTGTATTTGTATTAGGTCTGTATTCCACATATGAGAGAAGACAGGCAGCCTTTGACTTTCCACACCTGATTAACTTCACTTAAGATGTTGTTCTCCAGTTCCATACATTTACCTGCAAATGACAAAATTTCATTCTTCTTTGTGACTGAATAAAATGACCCTGGATACTTTGACTAGAAATTAAATATAGGGTTGTGATTTATTGTCATGTAAGCATTCACATGTTTTTGTCTTGGCTTCTCCACTAAGTCTTTATTTTTGGGTAAGTTGCCATCCACCCTTGGCATACTGCTGCAGATGGAAGTAGTTAATGGCTCTCTAAGCAGCAGCCCCTTGGAAAGAGCTAGAAGTGTGCACCAGACCTTCTGAATTAGAGCAGCTGGATGGGCTCAGCTGCCTGCTGTCAGCTAGCCCTCAGGTGATTCTGCTATAGGCTGAAGTTTGAGAACCTCTGGAACACTGGTAAGAGCAGGGGACTGTGAGCTCCATAGACCTAGGATTCCAGCCAGCTCCACCATTCCTATCTGACTGACCTTGAGAATGTGAGTCTGTCCTCTCCTTCCAGGGGTATTTTGTAGAAATCCATTCTGTAACATGTTAATGGATGCCTTAAGAGTAGGACTAGGTAAGGGGTTCTATAGCCAAAAAGTCACCTTTAGTTAATTTCAAACAGGATTTTTTTTAGCATCAATTACTCTATTTTTTAATAATTCTTTATTAGGATATATTCATTATACAGGGAGGATTCATAGTGACAATTCCAATTAGATTTATATTGTATATTATTTACATTGTCCCCATCGTTTCACCCCTCAACCCCCTCCCCACCCCACTTAAAGCAATTGCAAGAGGTTTCTTAATAATGTTTCATATAGGTATATGAAGTCCATCTACCATATACCTTCACCTTAATCTACTTCCTTCACCCTCCCCCTCCCATTAGTACCCCCCCAACACACACTGTGCTGTTTTACAGTCCTGATTCTCATTATTAATATTTAAGTTGATGTTCAAAGGGGCTTCTCAATGTATGCCCACTGAAAGTGTGCTTTACTTTGGTCCATTCAACTCCTTGCATTACTCTCCCTTACTCCTTTTCCTCACCCCCCATTTTTCAACAGCTTTCGATACACATTCCTCTACCTTCACATCTTGTGTTATGCGATATTACTGGTGTTCTATCATTTTCTTTTCCTTCTTTCCCCAAGTTCCATAGAGTAGTTCCACTATTACAAACATGTTCTACATCTGAGTTTGTATATGATCATGCATGTTTTTGTGTATATGTTTATCTTTGGATCTATCTTCAACATATGAGAGAAGACATGTGGCTTTTGTGTTTCTGATCCTGTCTTACTTCACTTAACATTGTAACCTCCAATTGCATCCATTTATCTTCAAACCACATGTCATTATTCCTTAGGGCTGAGTAATAATACTCCATTGTATATCTATACCACAATTTTTTTTTGGTTTATTCATTTATTCATATGTGCATACATTGTTTGGGCCATCTCTTCTCCCTGTTCCCTCCTTCTATCCCCCCTCACTTCCAGGCAGAACTTGTTCTGTGCTCTTCTCTAATTTTGTTGAAGAGAAGACATAGGCAATAATAAGAAAGACATAGCATTTTGCTAGTTTGAGATAAGGATAGCTATACAGAGGGATTCCTAGCATTGCTTCCATGTACATGTGTATTACAACCTGAATTGGTTCATCTGTTCCAGACCTCTTCACTACTTCCCGGTCACCTTCCCATAGTGACCTCTGTTAATTTAAGATTACTATATTAGCACCTCTACAGTGGGCACATCAAACACTTTCAAGTTTTGGGTTTCCTACCTTTCCCTATTCCTCCTGTATGCGTTCTCCCCTTAGCGTGTGACCTATGTCCAATAATATTACTGCATTTGTTTTAGGTATAAAGTCTGCATATGAGGGAGAACATATGATTTTTGGCCTTCTGAGCCTGGCTAACTTCACTTAAGACGATGTTCTACAGTTCCATCCATTTACTTGCGAATGACAAGATTTTATTCTTCTTTGTGGCTGAGTAAAATTCCATTGTGTGTAAATACCACATTTTCTTAATCTATTTGTCAGTAGTGGGGCATCTTGGCTGTTTCCTTAACTTGGCTATTGTGAATAGTGCTGCAATAAACATGGGTGTGCAGGTGCCTTTGGAATAACCTGAGTTGCATTTCTTTGGGTATATCCCTAGGAGTGGTATTGCTGGATCATATGGCAGATCTATGTTTAGATTTTTAAGTAGCCTCCATATTATTTTCCAAAGTGGTTGTACTAGCTTGCATTCTCACCAGCAGTGTATGAGGGTTCCTTTTTCTCTACATCCTCGCCAACATTTGTTGTTAGTAGTGTTTTCGATGATGGCTATTCTAACAGGGGTGAGGTGGAATCTTAGTGTGGTTTTGATTTGCATTTCCTTTATGGCCAGAGATGGTGAGCATTTTTTCATGTTTTTTGGCCATTTGAATTTCTTCCTTTGAAAAAGTTCTGTTTAGTTTAGTTGCCCATTTCTTTATTGGCACATTGATTTTGGGGGGAGTTTAGTTTTTTGAGCTCCCTGTATATTCTTATTATCAGTCCTTTGTCTGATGTATAGCCAGTGAATATTTTCTCCCACTCTGTGGGTGGTCTGTACAGTTTAGAGACCATTTCTTTTGCTGTGCAGAAGCTTTTTAATTTCATGTAGTCCATTTGTGTATCCTTTCTCTTAGTTGCTGAGCTGCTGGGGTTCTATTGAGGAAGTCCTTGCCTATACCTATTGCTTCCAGAGTAGTCCCTGCTCTTTTCCATACTGGCTTTAGAGTTTTGGGTCTGATATTAAGGTCCTTGATCCATTTTGAGTTGATACTAGTACAGGGTGATAAACATGGATCTCGTTTCAGTTTTTTGCACTTTTCCCAGCAACATTTGTCGAAGAGGCTGTCTTTTCTCCATCATATATTTTTGGCACATTTGTCAAAAATGAGGTGGGCATAGCTGTGTGGGTTCATATCCGTGTCCTCTGTTCTGTTCCACTGGTCTTCATGTCTGTTTTTGGCCAGTACTATGCTGTTTTAATTGCTATTGCTTCGTAATATATTTTGAAGTCGGGTATTGTGATACCTCCAGCATTGCTCTTTTTGCTTAGTATTGCCTTGGCTATTTGTGATCTCTTGAGAAATTAGGGTGAAATTTTGTGTGTGTGTGGTACTGGGATTTAAACTCAGGGCTTCATACTTGCTAGGAAGGCACTCTATCACTTGAGCCACTTTATCAGCCCTTATATACCACAATTTCTTGATCCGTTCATCAGTTTTAGGGTACCTGGGTTGTTTCCAAAGCTTGGCTATTGTGAATTGTGCTGTGATGATTTTTTTTTTTGTTTTTTTGAGCCAGGGTTTCATTATATTGCCTAGGCTAGTTCAGAACTGCTGGGTTCAAGTGGTTCTCAGCCTCCTGAGTAGTTGGGAATACAGGCACATGCCACTTATCCTGGCTAACACAGGATTCTTTATGGTAAGACTTTTTTGGTAACTGAATGTGTTTCTAAGGGTCTTTGAGAGTCCCTATGGAATGATGTTCAAAGTTGCTAGACTTTAG